GTCTTGAATGTTTTCGAACAGGTAGGCAAAACGCATTTAAAGCGTTCTTCTTCAACTTGAACCATGTGGAGCAGCCAAATACCAGACCCTTTAGACATTCCTTGTAATGGAGTGCTTTTTCTTCTGCTGATCTTTATAGATCTTGACTCATCCTTCTGCAACAGGCACAACAAGGCGTGATTAATAAGACGAACAATCCATTGCAACTCATGAGGAACAGAAGTGTCATTAACATCCTGTTGAGGATGCAATGGCTGAAGCTGATAAGTTTGAATAGGAGCAGGAGCAGCTCTTTCGTAGACGACCTCTTGTGGCTTCAGGTCATCTTCACCATACTCGAAAGGCTCTCCATCTGAAACCGAGACACGGAATTCGCCATCGTCCGTATCTTCAGAGTATGCAGGAACGTTTGGCCCGTAGTTTTCGTCAAATTCCTCGGCGTAGCTGTGCGTTCTTTTTGTTCTGAGCGTAATTTTCATGAACGCCAATTGATTGAAAAAAATCAAAAATTGCGAACTGCGCCCCTCACGCTTTGACCGACGCAGCTGACTAACGGTTTTCTTCGCACCGTTTCTTATCGACATGTCATTATATCTCATCGCAGAAATTATTTTGTCAGCTGTTGCAGTATCTCTAGTTTGCGAGCTTTTGTGTTGGTACTTCGTGTATCAAATCCAGGAATATCACAGCTTAGTTAACCAACAGAACAAACTAGTAGCTCTTCTAGAAAAGCAAAAGCTTGAAGGTAGTAATGCGGTAGACCAGAAGAAGTCTGTGAAGAAGAAGGCGAACAAGACTGAGACTGAATTAAAGAGAGTTTATGCGCTTTCTACTGGATATAACTTTAGACTAAGTATGATTAACATGTTGGTTCTGTTGGGTGCTTATCAAGTTGTTTTAACCGCGTACGAAGGGATCGTGGTTGGAAAGCTGCCTTTTGTCCCATTCGCTTTGTTTCAAGGCCTAACGCACCGTGGCTTGGCTGGTGAAGACTTTCAAGAGTGTTCTGCGCATTTGATATTCGCGATGGGATTGTTACTTGGAAGGACGAATATTCAAAAGTTTCTAGAATACCGAGGAATACGACCTGTAGCACCACAATTGATGAACCAATTGATGGAATGGCAGGCCGATGCTCTGGGCTTTGACAAAGATACCAAAAAAGATTGATAAATAAAGCACTCGTAAACGTTTGTTTCACACATGAGTTTCAGGTCGAAGCGAGAGTATTATCAGCTTTCAGAAGCCTATGCAAGAGAATGCATCAAGGAAACTCAAGATTTACTTTTTAAGATACCTCATGCCAAAGTCGCAAAGTACGGAGAGTTCAATGACGATATATTCGAATGGAAGCTTTCTCGATCTTTGGAACAATTACTTCCTGGCAAAATGACCAAAATCCGAGTGAATAGAGCCAAGTTATGAGGAGAATCTTTTTATTGTTCGCTAAATAGAAGCTTTTGTCTAAGCAGTTCGATTTCCGATAAGAACCTGGAACATTCTGATGATGTTAAAGTTTCTTCAAGCGGTTCCTTAGCAACGTATCTTCCATCCCCACTAAAATATTTACATCTTGAGCCATACATAAATTTGGGGTCCGGAACCTTTTGGTTTTCGTCTAAGGTAGTTTCACCATCACATTTTATACTTTCTGCACTTTTAAGTCCAGACAGAAAGAATAATGCTATGGCGCCATTGAGCGAATTAAAAGTAACATAGTCCAGAAACATCGAGCCGATAAACATCACTGGAATCATTAGAAAGGTTTGTATGAACCATGACATTTGATCATCCATTATTGAAGTGCACACACTGCCTGGTTCACAATAATACGAAGATACGCCCTGTTCCTTCAGCGCAGAATTTAAAGCGCAACTGAGTAGTTGAGTGGCATACTTTGAGGATTCATACGGAAAGTTACTGCGTGAACCGTCCATGTCTTTCCATGAGAAGTATTTCGAAGTAGCAGTTGCGGAACCAGTCCAAACAATACGCGAACCTTCATTGAACAAGTCTTGCAATCCCTTAATCATGGCATAATGCCCAAAAACGTTCGCCATGAATACTGTTCCTACACCGTCATTATTTACGCATCCGACCTTTTGAACAAGTATATCACCGCTTGTTTTGAAGAAAGCCTCAGTATTGGTGAACATCTGAATTGTGCCTTTCAAATAGTCGACACCTGAAGCTAACAATATACCGGCATTAGCGTAAAACACATCAATTTTTGGATATCTGTCTCGATACATTTGTACGGCATCACAAATGCTATGCTTGTTGGTCAAATCCACTTTTAAGAATTCCAGCTTAACTTTCATCAACGCATTCGGATATCTTTGCCGCAAATAATTCATGGCTAGCTCTGCCTTTTGCTGGTTGCGGCACGCCAAAATCAGAGTCAAAGGATCATCTTCCATGCTAGAGTCCTCATTGTACGCACCCATTATAGACTCCAGTAAACCAAACCCGACACCACTAATTGGTAAAAGTTA